AATGTAAGGCAATCTGGTCCGCCGTTTGTCGCTTGCCGCCGCGTTGCAGCACCTTATTGTCTCCTCACAAAGCGTAGCATGCTGTTGCATCTCGGCTGTCGAGGGTGATTCACACCTGCGTGATTATGATTAGCCGGGGTGGGGGGTAGGCCAATATCCAAGGCGGGCGGCTCGTGTTGCTGTAGCTGCACTGCCGTGTCCTCGCGGGTGACAGGTGACAGAGTACATACTGTGACGTGGACGTTGTGTCCAGGCTCTTTGTCTGCTCAGCAGCATAGCAGTCCCGCTGGAGTGATCGCCACCCGTTGCGTTATGCTGCTAAAGATTCGCTGTGGTGAAAAGTGAAAAGGCTGAAAGTAATATTGATGTTGTCCGAGGTGGGGGAGGGGGGCTCTGAGTTGGAGACAAGCCGCCGTCACAGCAAGGTGACACTGATAATCGCTCTTGATCCTCGACCGTCTGTTTCCTTCTCTGCTCTTTTTCACACTATGGTCGATAGGGGCTCACTTGAACATGAACTTGACCCGTGCGCCGTTGGGTTATTCGAGCGGTTCGAAGCATGAATGTGTTGAACGCCGCTTCGGTTGAGATGTGATGTTCACCGTGTAAAGCCTCCACCATTGATTATATTTTCCGCGTGTCCCTTTGAGGAGTATGTTGCCCCCCCCCCCTTTTGTCCTATTTTTACCCCAATTATGACGTCGGTTGTTTTCCTGTTGCAGGCGAGATCACTTCGGACATGTTGCACATCGTGCGCGAGGCGCGGTGCAGGACGCTGGGCCCCTTCAGCCCCTCCTTCAGCGTGCAGGACATCCTCCTGCAGGGACTTGAGAAGGTGAGACTTTGGATCGCAATTATCTGTTTGTGTGGCGGGGGCACTCCTCGGGAGGGAGGGATAAGAGACAAATGTGTTACAGCCATGCTGCATGCAATTCGTGGATGTGTCTTTGTACACTTGCAAGCTGGAAACCCCTTTCAATTTTCCGCAGTTGTATGACTTTTTGCGATAAACATTTTGTTCTGCTTTTTGCAGCATCTCCCCGAAGATGCGCACCTTCGCGTGAGCGGCAAGCTGCACATCTCCCTAACCAGGGTTTACGATGGCAAGAATGTCATTGTGTCTCATTTCAACAGTAAGGAAGATCTTCTCCAGGTGAGTCGTATTTCTATCTAAAACAATCAATCTTACCA